TAATAGCATCTTCTATCACCCTGTTGTAGCTCACTGTTATATTTTAGTGCAGCTCGTGGTACAGTGGCAGAGCTGCCTGTTCACCATTTGTCCTTCCCATGATTCAACTCTGACTTTATGGTTTTCTACGTTAGTGTTGTTGACATCAGAGCTGCATGGTTGGCCAGCAACCACACAGCAACTAGTCAAACCTCAAAATGAATGTCAGTCAAAGTTAAGGTGTGAGATCTCTTTACCAAGGTGAGAACTGACCAAGACAGCAGTGATACGACTCCGCAGTTCAGTTCTGATTGCGTGCCTTGTTAGCACAAACATATTTTAAAATGTTTTTACTAATTTTACATATTAAATCTTCCATTTCACCATGTATTTTGACTATGTTATGAATAGTTTTTTTTTTTACATTTGTTTCCTACTTTGTCACCAATCTCTGCTGATCTTCTCCAACTACTGCAAATCACAAAAAGACGCCTGGTGTCACAGCTTTGTCACACCTGGACCTTAACATCTCACCATCTGAGCCGCTGTGCTCTAATACAGGATGATGACTAAAGAAAAACAGCACTAAATCCTTTATACCATAACTTATCTCTCCAGGTGTGTGGGGCTGTTTCTTTTTCTTACCCTCTATATGAAACCATGTGCTCCATAAAGCCCAAATTCATTTTTATTCTGTATCTGTGCTGATACAGTTTCTTTGTCAATGAGAGAACTCTGGGGCGGGCAGATAGAGAGGGAAGAAATCAACGCACACTGCAGGCATAGCAGGGAAGCTGAGATAAGAATATTAAACAGGAGGAAGAATTGTGTCTCCTCCTACGTACCTACGAAGATGCCCGCGGTTGGAAATGAAAAGAAAACACACAACTTTAGTCTCCAAGAATTTGTACAAAACAATTTAGAGCAGGCTGTGGTGTCATGTATTTGTAAGCAAAAAATCTAATTTGGTCTAGTAATGTGTCATTTCACAGACTTATATTTTTGGGACACTTCCAAAAGGATGAGTGAATCCATTTGAATATTTTGAATAATCGTCACTCACACCTCAAACTTCATCCTAAATCTTAGTGTCATTTGGCAAACCGCATGTCAGCGGCTGGATTTGACATCTGGCGACAGTCAATCAGAATTACTGGTGCTGTCGGAGATCACGGGATAAGAATTTTGAGTCTCAGTGTGACATTGAAGTGATGGTACAATCATGTTATAGGCGTGTCTTTGAATATACACGTGTTTGCTATCAGCCTCACAACAGAACATGACACTGATGATTTATTTACTCATCTCACAGCCGTCAGAAATTATAATCAGTGAAGGATTTACTTTGTGTCGGCTGTATTTTAGAAAATGTGTAAAACCTTTAATATGATCTGCGTTCTTAGTCGTGTAAGGCCTAAATATTCATCTTGAAACAGTATTATTATCTGCACATTAAAGTATTATTTCAACACTAGGATTTGTGTCAGTTCTACCATATTTATGTGATTTTATTTTTCTAACTTCAGATCCCGAAATAGCTTTGAAACGTATGAAGTAACGCATAGAAATATAGAATGACAGTCCCGCTGTTAACGACTCACATTTGTGTCCGGAAAAATTAATCAGTCCTCCTCATGATGACAGCAAATTGCCCAAGATTATGTCAAGACATCTTCATTTCTGCATGAAAGAGGAGGAGGGAGAAGGAGGAGGACGGGGGGGAGGCGATGGCAGCAGAGATGCCATTTAGTTTGCCAGTGGCCCCCGGGCGATTCTTCTTCTCTGGCATTAATTTGAATGTCTGACAATTAAAAGCCATTGTGAGTCTGAGAGTAAGAAAAGGAATAAAAGAAGAAAGAGACAATGGTTACAACCAAACATGGTATTTCTTTTACATTAAAGTGCAGCTGCAAAACGTTGATGTAGATTTGCCCGTCATCTGCATTTGGAAAAGCTTTTTGGGAACATTGTAATATTAAGCAGTCTTCACTAAACTGAAATGTTCTTAACTTTGTGACGCCTCCTTTTTCTTATTTGTCTTATCTTAGCCCCAGTGTCATGGTGCCTTGGGTGGAGGCAGTTATTTACCCTGCCCTCCTGGCTGTTGTGCTTTGATTAACCTCTGGCTCAGTGTCTGTTGTTGTGGTCGGTCACACCTACGGTAGTTCCTAGGTACTACTATGCTTTATAAACAGAAAGCGAGTATTCTTTCATACTTTTGCATTTTAAGGTAAAGAGAGAAACAAACGGGAAAAAAAATGTTTGTGGTGTAAATTTACACCTAAAACATTTTTTTTTCTTTTGTCATCCACGTACCAAGTTTAAACGCTGCAACTTTTCTCCAGGCAAATCCACGCTGCTAAGTTTTCATTCACATTAACGGTTGATGTGAATGTGACAGGCTCAGTGTGTTGGTTTGTTTCACTCAACAGGAGAAATTAATCACACACATTCAGCGTGTTAGTTGGAGCTCTGCATTAACTAGGCTCACGCTGCTTTTTATAGCCGTATTAAGACAACACGATCAGTCTTTTAATTGAAGGTATTTGTTAAAACTGAACTGAAATGGATGCTATTTGTTAAAACTGAACTGAAATGGATGCTTGCGCCGATGTGAACCGTCTGCTTTTCATCGGTCAATGAAATTGACAACGTCTTAGAAACTGCAAACATTTACATCGTGTGGCTGGGCTTCTTTTGGAAAATTTAGACGACAATCACAGTCACCATTTCATTTTCTTTTTAAAAAAAATCTTTTTATCCCAATGCCACCTCCTCCTGGGCAAGTTCAAATCCTGGTTAGGGCAGTTGGTACCTTCCAGGGGACTCACCACCCACAGGAAGGTTTAGGAGGGTTGGTACGGTGCAATGTGATTTGGTATTTTGGTAACAGATAAGCGGATGAAAATGAATGGATGGATGGATGGATGGATGACTATTTCATCTCTGCAGTAGAAAAATGTGTTCATAACAATAATATCGATAGCCTAGGTGTTTGCTTTAAAAACATTGACCATAAGGTAAATTTACATTCTGCCGTTCTTGTGTGAGACATACTGTAGTAGATTCTGTAATAGCTGTAGCATCCAGTAGAACTTGGTGTGTTGAAATTACTCTCTCACTCCAGTTCTGTCAAGTCATGTAGAAATGACATGATGGTGGTATGAACACTTCATACCACCATCATGTCATTTCTACATGGATTTCATTCATACACAATGTTTACAGCCCGTCTTCTCTGGTCCAGTGTAAAAACGTGACATTAAATACCAGCTCCTGGTGTGAATAAATTCCTAGGAAAGAGAAAAAGATACTGAACCCTGGAATTGTCTGAGAAATACTGTATATTCAAGTTCTACAAATAGAAATGAAATGTGACACAAAGTGCACTTTGATTTGAATTTGAAGCCAATTTCAGATACATGGGCATTATTTCTGCAGGTAAAAAATGGAAATGGAAAAGAATGGACTTGCCATACAAACAGCCCTGTAAAAGGGCAGGTTAAAGCGCTCGTTATCAATGGCAGTTTCATGTAAAGTGAGGCACAATGAAGGCCCATTATAAGCAGATTACATCTATTAGTTACTGCTGTGCTGCATGCAAATGGCATGCCCATGGGAGAGCAGAAAATCATTTTAAACTTCAATAAGTTACAAACGGTGGCAAGTCTACCCATAATCTGCAAAGAGCCCCGGGCGGCAATGAGGCTTGGTGCAATTAGGAGGGAAATAAAACCGTAAACAAAGAAAACATGTAAAAGAGACTGAAAGTGAAATAAACATCTTGGAAGGGTGATTACCGTACCTCGTCTTTGACGACGTCGGCTGTCGCTCCCTCCCTGTGTCACATTCTGATGCTTTTGTGTTCTGCGAGGATAACTGTTCCGTTTGTCTGACAACAAAGGAAGAAAGAATTAAGGTCAGCATGCCTGAGAACTACGGCTTTTTAATAAAGAAGTCGTACGTCTTTGTCAGCTGACATAATAAAATGTTTCCCTTCAAGGGGGGAACAATCAGAGGCGCCCAGGCTGATTTGATTTATTTAATTTAATTAAATGAATACCATTTACATAATTAAAAGTTGCAATGCGACGCAAGGTCAAAGTTATAGCCCCCACATTACAAGTTTTACTGCGATCAAAGTACAGGTATTAGATGTATCATTAGGAAATAAACATAAACCTTGTTATGCAAAGTGACCCCTGTCAGTACATGTTTTATTGTGATAAATTGTTATGCAAATAATGTTTCTTTTTTTGAAGGTTATTTTTTATTTTTACTAAGACTGAAGCTGAGTCAATTAGAAGTCAATTTAATTTATTATCTAACTAAATATATCCAAGTATGTGGGAGACTAGATGAGTTCTAATCGAGCAAACAGCATTTTTCCTTACATGTATGAAGAACTTTTTATGAAGTGATTTTACTGTGTTGTTTTTAGTGTTCTTGTCGTGTGCGTGATTTATTAAATTTATTTTTTAGCCCCAACTATTTCCTAAAAGAAATACAATACTAATACAGATAATAATAATAATGCCACTAAATGAACTTCTTAATAAGGGTAAACCTTTTGGGCTAAATTCATCTGTTTTGATATTTGTTTACACATTTTTTGCAAATTATAACCAATACATATGTGGCAGTTTTGTGTTGTGTCCCTGTTCTGTATTAAACCTGATCTATATATTGATCCTGGGAAATTATAAATATAATTCTAATAACGTGTTATTGAATAATTCTGCAATCCCAACTTCACACATTAGCTCTACTTGGAGAAACTAGAGCTAATGTTAACAATGCTATATAAACATGCCTCATCTGTTTAAATAAATAATTATTCAACAATTCTACAGAACTTTACAGAAAAGACCCTAAATGTTCCAAAGAAACCCCCTAACCCCCCAAAAAGCATTTGTTTTTCCTGCAAAGTGCTTCTGCAGCGTCTTTACCATATAGTCCCGCCTCCTCTTTCTGCCATTGGTCCGCTTGGCACATAGTCGTGCCTGATTGGATGTTGAGTTTGTCCGTTGTCTACGTTGACACGGAAACCAGGAAGTGTCCGTGGAAGTGGTGTGTTGGCATTCTGGACCTGTTCTGTTCAAAGTGCGGCAAGAGTCTGTCTCTACTGTCAACTCGTGTCTTCATCCATCAGCGGGACGCGGCGTTCGTAATGCAGAGACACCTCCATTAATATTACAACGTCTGCAGAGAAAAGAGGGTGAGTGAAACAGTGAGTGCACGGACTGAGAGCTGCATACTCTCGCCTACAGTTGTTATGTTTATTATGCTCTTAAGCTAATAGTCTGTAAAGTGTTTTAGTTCAGGTATTCCGAATAAAGCGTACACGTCATAAAACGTAACTTTTAACATTGCATTGTACGGTGTAATGTAAAATTAGTGCGATATGAATAGGTGTAATGCTTTTGCTCGTGTTATTTTATTTAGTTAGACTCAGTCTCACTCATGCTAAAAACACCTTATTGGAAATAACTATTTTTTCGACTACACTTTTACTACCTATGGACACTTTTTGTGTCAATGTTGGTGTCAAAAAAGACATAGATGTAGTAAATGGTTGAGCAGATTTTTTCAGATAATTATTGATGGAGAAAACTGCTGACTTTTATCAATTCAGTTTCATTTTAAACATTATTATGTTAGAAATGCACCTGTAGATGTGAATTGTTTGTGTTTATAATCTCGAGGCTAATTTGGCTGAAGAGTGCAATCTTGGAGAGATGCTGAACAGAAAGATTTTTTTTCTTTGTCACTTGAGGTAAAATTATCTTACTTTTAATGTCATATAATATATTATATTATTTTAATATTACACCCCGTGACCATTTGCATGAAGATTTTGTGGTTTAAACCTCAGGTTGTTTAGTCATTCTGATTAATTTGTCGTAAGTTAGGATCATACTCATACAAAAAAGAGAAGATGAAGTGTAACAGGATACGATGCCTATGAGTCGACACTCCATGTGACGTGTAACTGTCAGTCACATGCAGACTTTGTCAGAAAACATTGTGACATTGGCTGTGATCCCCAACAACACACCAAGGCTGCTTTTCAACAGCTGAATCATGTTGTATGACCCAAAACAAGTGATTGACAGGAGAATTATAACTGACATTTAAATTTACCTTTTTTTATGGTAATTGATAACAAACCAGACCACATTTAATTGTTTTATGTCTAATTTATCTACATTCTTCCTCATCTTCTCCTTTTTCTCCATCTCATTCGACTTCTCTTTCCTCTTCTCTTCCTTCTCCTCCTTTTCTTCCTCTCCTCCTCCTTGCAGTGTCACCTTTTTCATTCTTCCTACAGTAGATGGAAGAAACAGATGACCTGGGCTTACGTAGGTATTTTGTATAGGGACATGACAACCTGCAGACCAACTGAAAATACATAAAAAATGTGTTTTCACTTGGCAGTAATTGTATATTAAAACTAACTAAAACTATATTTTAATTTAGAATGACTAGAAACAACAAACAACTGCAGTTGATGGACTTGGTGTAATTATTTTATGCTCTATTTACACTGTAATTTTAAAATGAATTTAACTTGTAATCCTGGCTATGCATTTTTTCAATCAACATATAATGATGCATAACATTAACCAGTTAATTAAGTTTAAGGCTGGGACATTGTTCTCACCATGTTCTTAGATGATTTCACAGACAAAGAATAAAGCAGTATTCCTCCCCTTTTTTTGTCTTGGTCAGCGAACGTCCTTGCTACTGATTTTCCTGCAAATTTAAAATAGACTGTAACACATCTGCAGGCATCACAGAGGAACCGCTGCACCACAGGTGATCATAGAGGCTGGAAATGAGGGGTGGAAGTCTTCAGTTTAGGCATGATATTGTGATGGTGTCACACAGCACACCATATACGGAGACACCACTGTGTCCAAGCATAAACAATCACATTTGGGACAATTTTCTCTTTCCTTTTCGTCCTCCTCTCGCTTCCTTTAATCTGCTGTCGCTGGTTTCCAGCTGCTGCAGAACAATGGCAGTGCACACATCCTCCTTTTGTGCTGGCACTAACAGCATTTTCAGGCGTAGGTAAAAGTAGTGTTTGGATTTCAGGTAAAAATAAAAAATCCAGGTCTCCAGAGGCAATCATGGTCTCCCCCACGAGAGGCCCAGACAGCCAGCCACGCTCCGTGAACGTGCTAATTCAGTCTCTTTCCTCTGTTTTCCCGCTGCACCTCCAGTCTCTCCAGCTCTCTGTTCCTCTTGGATACACTTAGATGTTTTTTTTTCCTGCTTATATTCTTTCTCCCCATTTGTGCACAACTGCTTTTATACATTTTCTATTACTACTATTTTGCAGTGAATACAAAAAGTAGACATCTTAATCTGAATAATTGTAATTGCACATTAGAGTGCATACAAAATTTCACTTGTTTTGGACAGTGTTTCTGATACAACACCAATAACAGGTAGCAGTCTCAGATATTCAAACGCTTGTTTTTCCAAGTCTAGCTCTTAACATCTTCCTTGTGAGCTGTCAGCATATCATAGACTCGCAGTGTGAAAGGAAACGCTGTCAGAGTAAATCAGATGGATAGGAAGTGCACATACTGTGAATGCAACACACCCAAGGTGTTGAGAATAAATTTAATTATGTGTAGCAGATGTATATGAAAAATAAACCATCTGTCGGCTCAAACACGACTGCTCTCCTTTGTATGCAGTATGATGGCGTATTAACTTAAGTCCTTCCTGCCGATTTCACACTCGTCGTACCGTAGGCTACAGTAACAGGGTTAGAAATGAACCACACTTGATTTAAATGATCAAGTGAAGCACAGAGGCCTCACTGTAAATGTCTTTCCTCGTCAGGCTGAGGAGCGAAAATGGGCAAGAAAGATGCCAGTACCACCAAACTACCAGTGGACCAGTACAGGAAACAGATTGGTGAGTGGTTGTGTTTATTTCTGTGGCATTTTTCATCAAAAATGAACAGGCTAATCATGTGATGTGTTTATTTCTGTGGCTATCAAAAATGAACAGGCTAATCATGTGAATTAATTTGTGAATTTAATCACCTTCATATTGTCGATGCATTTTAACAAGGACGTGCACTGTATACCCAGTAATTTCACTCCACTCACCTGTTGTTGCTCTAATACCCAGTTGATACATGGTATAATTTGCAAATACTGTGGGGAGTTTTTTAAAGCAAGACAAGCTTTAAATACCATCCAGGTTTTCAGGGACTGTACACTGATTACTTTAGTTGAGAACCCTTGATTCACTGGAGTTTTGAAAGCTTTCTACAAATAACTGTGAAAATGTACTGTAATGGCTAAAATCCACTATATCTATGAATCCCAGGTTTGATTTATACCTTTCCTGAAATTTTACTGATAAATATATTTAAGACAAACAGTAAGGCTAAAATGAGAGCCATTTTTTATACAGTTTTTGTTTGATTGTCCTTTGATATGGATTGTGACCTAGAAGCACCCACTCCTCTCGAGGTATTGGATACTCGCTGATACCCACTTGATCATGACTGTGCTCGGTAATCAATCACAATTGATGAGGAGGCAACATTTGGGGTCAGTTTTTATGAACAGCAAATTCCTGGCTACAAAAACTGCCCCGTAGGTAACATGTCACAAACTGTTTTGTCAAAGTTTAAAACCACTTTATTCCTGCATGACTTGGTTTCCCCATCCTTTTCCCCTTACACCATAAAGGCCTAACTAAGGCAATATGGTAGGTATCAATCAAAACTTTGGTTCCCCTAAGCATACCAGCTGTGGTTGCTCGAAGAGCACAACTCCTATCATGCCTTTTTGTTTTTCTTGCACTCGTCTGCAGCAGAGAAACCACAGGCCTGCCAATGGCAAAGCTGGATAATTACGAACAGCCGTGAATGACGTAAATGCTCGGCGAAGCTCTGTTTTCCTCATCGGCCTAAAGTTTTTACTTTAAGTTCTGAGAATGATGTATTGACAAAAACAGATCTGGTTGTGGACACAAAGATGCTCATTTTCAGATTAGAGGCAGTATTTACAGACATGTTATAGAAACTGTTAGCAAAGTCAAGGAATTAGCCTGGATAAACAAACTTCCTTAAAAGGATTTCTTTAAAAGACTGAAAAAAAACAAGGTCAGGTTTAGCATTTACTACTGGCATAGCTGGTTAGCATTTGCTCGTACAAAGAGGTTGCCTGCCATTAGCCAGAGCGGTTTTTAGGTTCTGCCAAATTCCTAAACTAAAAATATTTAACTTTTAGATACTTTCTTCTCCTAAGAGAACTATTAGGCTTGTTTGCCTAATAATTAGAGACACCTTTTCCTTTTACTGATGAGTAAAGAATTCCACAGTTGGCTTGTGATCATAGCTTTTGGAGAAATTGCTTACTACTCTACATATCTGAAGCATACTTGGACAGGGGACTCCTGCTGGTCAGACAGCAGAACCTCGAGTCAAAGATTAACCAGATAGATTTGGAAAGTCTATAATGAAGTTCAGAGTGACCCTAAAACACAACCTCAGTCAGATGTGCAGCAGTTATACATCTGCCTTTAAAAACACCTTGTGTAAAATCACCCTTTTCTTTATAGTACTGTTGTTAATGTACAGAAAAATAGAATTATATAAGGTACGTGTGGTATAGGTGTCACATACTTGCTGTATTGTATGCGCGATTTATATTTATTCTTATTAGCAAGAGAGAAGGCAACCCATAATTTCCTACAATAGCCCACACCACCTGCTGACGCAACTGTCAATCACACCGCTGTCGTGGTCCACTTCTCCCAGTGGTCTGCTGTTTATTGGCCCCGGGTGATTTCACATCCTCCTTAGTATTAACCATCAAGTCATGAGCTGGTCTATTAAACTGTATGTCCTCTGGTTCACTTCCTCTCAGTCCATGGATCCACAGTTTTAGTCTCCGGTCTCTGAAAATGAAGACTCAGATTCTACAAATTGTGAACCCGCTTATATTCCATCTTTGTTGGACACATGAGGTCTTTGTGTAGAGCAGGTAGTATGCATCTGCATGGTGTCAATAGAAAAGTCAAACTGCATAGTTTCTAATAAGGTAGCACTTGGCTTTTCTGTCTGTGTTTTAGCCGTCAGTAGAATAGTAACTTCTCCAGGATGCATTTTTCCTTTTACCTGGTGTCAGCTAGTACTCAAGACAGCTCTGGAATATTTAACTACTCAGTTGTAGAAAATAACAAATATTTATATTGTGGCCTGCCTGTAAAAATCTTTTCAATTTCTGACACCTCTGTCCACTGTTTACCTCTGCTGGGGCTTTACATTAAGATAACTTTGGTTTTAAAATAGTCCAAAAAAGTCTCTAGAATCTCTTTTTTTTATTATAGTCCAAAAAAGTCTCTAGAATCTCTGTTGGACAGAACAGTAAAGGTGGGAAATGAGACCCAAGAGAAAAAAAGAACAAAATCTCAAAGGGTGCTTGAGCTTAGTTCTTCAAAGACCTTTTACAGTCTGCATGTAATTTGTGACTGTAATTGTGAGACTCATTCAAGGCACCTCAGAAGGTGTCCTGGCTGGACGTTGAGCTGTTCCATCATCTCTGCTGGATCCCTTGTTTCACTTTAGATGACATCAGTGGACCACTGTTTCCATTCAGATATGGTTATCAGACCAGTCACCTCCTGGGAGGTTAATACTGACCTGTGGATTTAAAGTGACTTAGGACTAAAACCCCTGAAGTGGAGAAATGCTTTAATATGGACGGATATTTCACCTACATTTATGGAGAACATTAAATACTTCAGCGTATTGCAGAGGAAACCACATGCATGTAGTCGGGTGGTACATGAGTTCTTCTTCTGCTCTGCTCAGAAAATATAAATGTCCACCTGTCAGCTGAAGTGAAATGATTATGAACAGTGAAGCTGTTCGAGGTGCTGAAGGAGGTGGTGACCGCTTTCCCTTTTGTCTTGTCCTTTTGACATAAAATCAGAGGTGACATCAGTGAAAGGCGTTCTTAGAAGGGCCTCTCAGCAGGCCCCTGTTGGCCGTCTCACAGGGTCTAATGCTCCCCGGAGACACAGCAGCATTGTTGTTGTTGTTGTTGTTGTGGTGGTGGTGGACGACAGTGATGTCTGGTCAGTGCAGCAGACAAGAGCAGAGAGGGGATGGGAGGACGGCCTGTAGCCAAGCACAGGTAGATAATTGGCGACGGAAAGTGTCTGCAGCAACAGTGCAGCAGGGGGAAGGTGTGTGACAAATAGACGCTCTCATAATCCCAGTGCAATATCAGGAGTGTGTGGTGTGCATACTGTACGGGTGTGTCACAACAGGACTGAGACCAAGAATTGTTTTGTTAAAAGGCACTGCTACGTTCTGCAGTCGTCGTCGTCCATATAAAAAAATCTTCACTCCTGATTGGTCCAGTCTTTCTCACTCAGGTGTTCAGTTCATTTTCACGTGGATGTAAAGTAAAGGGTCAGCTGATTTTTTTTTGGGAGGCTGGAGGCATTTACTTGCAGCTAATTAGATAATTACTATATTGTCATATTAACAAGAAGTTGCCTCATCTACCTGATGTTGTTTGTCTTTCTGTTACAGCAGTGTAAAAGAACATGTTTCCATATTAAAGAGTGTTGATTATCTTAATTATTCATGGTTGAACCTGATTAACCCACAGCTACATTGTGATTAACTTGGTTAAAATGTTTAAATCATTTCACAAACCTTACTTAAATCACCTTAGGTATGTTATGATCTCAGAGTGTTTTAATACACAAGCTGCCGTGCGTATGGAGAACAACCTCAGATTCCCTCCAATCAACTTTCTACCTCTTCACTTTCTGACAAGTGGAGGAGACATCCAGTGGCCCTCCTAATGAATTCCCACTAGCTCACTGTCTGCTTCTGGCAACATGCTCCCCATTTCTATTAGCCCTCTCCTGAGTCAGAGGGCGGTGGAGGAGGAGGAGGAGGAGGAGGGGTCCTTGAACAGGAGGGCTGGGAAGAGATGGGAAATGAGTGCAAAAATCTTAGGAAAGAGCAGGAAAGTGAAATCTAAGAAATAATGTGAGCGATAACACAATTTCTTCCATTTTGTTTTTAAAAATACAACATGTACACAAACCATTACTACTCCAGCAGTGCAGTTCTATTTTTATTTGTCTTCAGACACTTCAGATTTTGCTGTTTTTGTGCCACTTTAAAGTTGCGCCACTGCCTGAGAGTAGTTTCCTCCACTGATGTCTAAAGCTGCAGAAACTTGAAGCTGACTAACATGGATTTGTCATTGAAATAAGGGCCTAAAAATACTGTATTTAGGGCAGAGACGTTTCATTAGCTTCAATTTCAATAGTTTCAATTTCCCTCGGTCCCCTGAAATATAGAAATATAACACAGTCACACACACTGTTCAGCAATCTGTCGCCTTTCTACCCTATTGTTAGCAAAGTTCCTTTTCCTGCAGTGTGTTGTATCTAATTAGACCAAGACAGCCGGCTCTGCCTTGTGTGAAGGCAGACACACACACACACACATACACATACACACTTGCATAACAGGTGGTGGTTTGGTCCAAAAGCCTCGCGGTTGGGAGTTAAGTCTGTGGGAATCAACCAAGCACAGGTGACCCATGTGACTGAGGCCAGGAGAAATGTCTTTAAATTGGGATCCACACTCAGAGTTTGCCTGGTGGCTAAATTTAATTGCAGAATCTGTGAAACTTTTATTTCTCTCACAATATTCTGGTCTCCAAAAAATACACACTAGAAAAATGGACTAAAATAGACTAGATGACGGCCTTGCAAAACACAAAAAAAAACACATACTCTCATACGTGGCATATGCACCTGCTATTATTTACTGCTTCATTAAAACACACGTGATGATAAGAGTACTTCACTTTAATTAGTATTAGTATTTGTTTATTCATTCTAGAAATCTATTCTGTTAAGGATAAATTGTTTTTGATCAATTTATACAAGTTAACTGTAACAAAAACACAACTTCATTACAGATACAAATTAGTGAAGTTACAAGTTAGTATGTAAATTAAAACTAAAGCAGTGTGCTCTTATTAAGATAAGAATAATTGGTTTTAAACATCTTGTAATAAAGTTTGAGCTTCAGCCGATTGGCATTTCATTATTATTTTGGTGTAAAAAGTTTCTACCACAAGTTACCAGAAAATGACTCCAAACCAATGTCCTTTCACAGTAAAATATTACTTTCCTGTAAGACACACAGACTCCAGTGTGTTAATCATCCAAAGCTGGTGCAATGTCAGTATAGAAGCAGAACCTAAACTGCATTAACCTGACATCTCCACTGAGGCTGATGCTGGGTTGAAACCCGTTAATCAGCCACTGGTTCTTTGAGTAGAAGGTTTGGTGCAGGTCACAAATGAATCTGTCCCATTAGTCAAGCTTTCAGGGAACACGGCCTGAAACCACAGCAGTGTTGGTGTGAAATGGCACGGTCATTAAGTCGTCTGTTTTGTGCTTTCTTGTGTCTTTGTCTCTCAGGTAAGCAGGACTACAAAAAGACCAAATCAGTCTTAAAGGCCACACGGCTTAAAGCTGAGGCAAAGAAGAATTCCTCCGGATTCAGGGTGAGACGTGTTTCCAGTAATTGATGTCTGTTGTCGGCATGTCGTCTTCTCTTTCCATGTGCCCATCTGTCCGGTCCATCTGCTTGTCTGTCTTTCTGCCAACCATCTTCTTGCCATTTGTCTATCTCTCTTTCCTTCTCTTCAAAAGAATCATCCTATTAAATATCCTTATTGTTACTGTTACCTATATATATATATATGTATATATATGCTTATATATATACATATACACACACCTCAGTCAACTGGCCATATTGTTTAAGTGCTTCAAGTTAAAAGAAATATATCCAAAACGTTAGTCAGAGACACTTCCAGCCCTGGAAGTCCTCACATCTGGCCCAGGACTAGATGTTAATGATATTTTAATTTTAACCTAGAGCTGTTTCTTTTTTCAAGGCCCTCGGGTCATTTGAGTTTGACACACCTGACTCAGAGTACAACTCACTTTCAATTCAAGACTTTTCAGTCTTTATTCTTATTGTTTAAAACAGAAGCAGAGAAAAGGTGTGGAAGTAGAGGATGGAAAACTTTGGGAATGTAAAAAGAGAATAAGCACAGAGAAAGTGATAAGGTGCAGCTGAGTAATGTAAACATAAACGGAGGTTAGGCTGTTGCGAAGGAAGAGAAATGTCTTTCCCTCCGTTTCTTTCTCGCTCTGCAGCGATTAGAGGCAGCTGTGCAGGCAGAGATGGATGACACTACGTTTATCACTCTGGAAGCTCAGGCTCTTCCTGGTTCATTTGGCTCACTGATAAACAGTTTTAGAGTGATAAAATATTAGCAGCGAGTAAACCCCTTGAATCTTTAATCTTTGTCAAATGGAGTTCATTTCATGCAGTTTCACATTAGTGCCGTTTGTTTCTTTGCTCTTGAAAACTGGTTCTATAAACGGGACGTCAGAAGCTGAAAGCTATCACTGGGCCCTGACGCTCCATCTGAATGTGGTGAAGACATAGAGGAATCACAGTGAGGAATTAAACACTGGGTGAAATGGTCAGGTTTTAAAATATGCATCTCTTAGACACGCGCGGCCTCATTAGGCACGTCTTTAATCCAATTAGATTAGTCCATATCTTGAAATATTGATATTGCTCATGAATTATTCAGGTTTTTCACGCCCAAGACGAAGGGAATTTTCAGAGGTTGGATTAAAAATACCTCCGGGACGAGGATATTAAACTGACTCGGACCTCTTGGCCTCCAGTTTGATTGAAATTCAGCCTAGATGTAATGGATATTTGGTCATGCTTGCTTTACCATTGAATCCTCTTTAGTTTTGTATTAATTTCCTTTTTTCCACACAAGGTTTTCCGTGGACTTGTGAGACACTGGTTTATTGTTTTACTTCGACTGAAACCTGAAATATTACTAAATTCTTATCAACTCAGTTGATGTGACTGGGAATGGGGTCACTCCTGTCTAATGTGAGCATTAGAAAACATTTTATTGTAATATTATAATGTACAAAAAAGTAAATATTAATTAAACAGTTTTGAAGTCCCAACATAGGGGCCACTTCCAGCCCACGAACCCCCCATATCTGCTCTCAAGGATATTTTAATTTTTTTTAAATGTTTAATTGTTTGGTTTGTTAATGTACTATTATTCACCATTTATGAGATAGAAGAACAAAAATGTCTTTTTTCTAAATGGTCCAGGTTTTGAAGTTGAAAATAATTATTTCTATTCCTATTTGTATCTTAAATGCAGGTTTATACTTAGAGAATTTGTGATTTCTTTCAATCACCATTAAAAATAAAATAGTAAAACCTAACTCCTACACAGTGGAACTTTGGAAACTCACAGTTAACAGAACAACCAGAAACAGCTCAATCCTGACCATGTGTATTATACGTGTTTAGTTTCAAAGAAATATATGTATAATTACAATTAAAACAGGTAACCATCCTTTGGTTCATTAAAGTCTCCTGACAGTGCTCTATAAAGGCATCTAGGTTGTTCCAGTCTCGTCCCTCGGCTCCCCTTCCCTTCTTTTTGCCGGGCTCTCCAGTTGGAAAGCCGGTCTCTGGTGCAGCTGGTCTCTCAGAAGAGCCGGCACATGTCGACTCAGAGCGTCAGGCAGCTGCCAGGACAGACTGTCTCGGGGCTGTCCTGGTACCAGAGCAGTCTGGAGAAGTTGGCAGTGAACTAGATAGAAAGGCTGGGAAAGGCAGACTGTTCCCACAACAGTGTCAGGTGTGTGAGTCAAAGCAGAACAAGTCTGACCTGAGGAGTGGAGGGACCTGGTGAACCGTGGTGTGACACGTGTGTCGTACAGCGTTCAATCCCGGTGTTGCTCTGGGAAGAGGGCAGGATGAAGATGAGGCTCTTTTAAATGATGTGGTTAGTGGTGGAAGAAGAAGAAGAACAACCTTGGAAGTGGCAGCAGCGCACTAGCATGCAGCACAGGCAACGCGCCTGCTGTCTCATCTAATTGGCACAGTAGCCTTCTGTTCAGTTCTGCACGGTTTTCCCTCAGTCTTTTGCTGCTGAGTCTATAAAATTAGGAAAACGCTTAAGGAATTAGCCGAGGATGGAGGCTACCATCTGTTATTTGTGGAAGACATATATATATACAAACATAAACAATATGGCAAGTAAGGAAGGAGAGTGGAATAATAAACACCTATCCACCTTCTTATACTTCCTCTTTCATCACAGCCTTTAGTTCCAGCTGAACGGCTCTTATTTAGTACATCTACCTGTGATTACAAGGCAAAGTTTGCTAAGTAATACTTGAGTGTTACTTGAGGTAATGCAGGAACAAGTGACTATAAGTGGAACCAAGGAAACCAGGATCGAAATGAATCTGGTCTACTGGCTTACTTAAAACGTTAACAAAAAATAGTCCTCACCTTAAACCGGAGTATTTGCGACTAAGAGCGTGAAATAACACGAAAACATTACACATCCATGTTAGTCTGGTTAAATCTAATTAAAATTCAGTCAAAGTAAAATTAAGGTAATTACTTTATTAATTTTGATATTCCTTTACTAGAACTATAAGGTCTGTGCCCATGCAGCATGTGTATAGATATTGTATGACATTAATATACACATGTACCTGTGTGCATTAAAGTTGAAAACAGCTACACTTGTTAGCTAATGTGATGCTAATTTGAAGTGCGTTATGTAAGCGTAGTTGGGTTTAGAACAGCTGTAGTCGACTCCAGCCTCCAACTGGAGCAGACTGCTGGATGTGTCATCTGTGCTGGCCATTAGGTTTTTACAACGCTCGTTCACACGTTTTAGTTGGCCAGCAGTGTTGCCAGCTAACACATGGGAATTTTTTGGATTTAATGGCCTTTTATGCCAGTTAATTAACAACAAGCTTTTTGAAGAGCGTTAAGTGGCTTTTCTTGTTCTGACTTTTTATTTACAGGGCCCCAAACAAACATGAGACTGGAATGGGAAAAAAAGAGTTATCTTTTAAATGAAAAGAATTCATTTAAAAGAAAGAATTAAAGAAAAAAGCTATTGTTTCACTTGACATAATCAGCAGATATAAAGTGGGATTTGATAAGAGCACATACAGTCTTTATGACGATAATAACAGTTCATTTAAAATGAGTTGTTTTAAATCCAAATCCATTTTCTTGATTGTTCTTGTGCTTTTTCATCATTGAAATGGTGGAGAGGAAAAAAAACAAGATCATTTTGAACATGAATCATGACAGCTCTGACACTATGATTGGTTGAATCTTGAGAGAACAGTGCAGTGTAGAAGATGGTCTGGCTTTGAGCACGAACAAGACACGCAATGTTTTTCATCGATGACTGGACAAGAAGGTTTTATGGCACGGCGTTGCCAGGAGCAATATTCATTTAACCGGTTGGGAAATAAAAGCTAACTGCTGGTTATTTGTCACTGCAGTGTGTGCAGATTAGACAACAGATGTGTTTATCTGCCAAACAAATAAAACCAGAAACTGCCTCCACCACATTCACAAGGTTCCACCACCTGTGAATGAACGCTGACAACACTCAGATATGTTTGATATGTTTTATAAGGAGGCCAAATGGCGGAAGGAGTGGTTAGCATGCTTGCCTCACAGTCAGATGGTAACTGGTTTGGGGGTTTGATACCTGGTCTTTCTGTATGGATTTAAAATGTCCCCCCAGTGTAGAGTTGTCCGCTAGTAGAGACGAAAAGCAGCTTTCTCAGAGAACATCATTTATATGGAGATGGTTCCAAAACCATTGGAGTTGTTGTGGTTTCGCTTCAGCTGCTTTGTAATCACAGACCTCAGTGCAGGAGCCATGTTTCTTATATACGGTCTATGAGGTATCAACATATCCGTGTGCAGCGTACACGTCCATGCATCTCTACACAGTGTGTGAGGATGTTTTTAAACAGACCCTGGAGGAGAACAACAGGAGAGATGAGCCCATGTCTGTGGAGCGGTGGCTTGTCGCCAGGGTGATAGAGACCTCCCAGCATGCTCTGTGTCGGCAGCTGCCTCCAGGAGCTGTGAGAGTGACCTGATGAAGATGATGACGTGCCTGGGCTCCTTTCAGGGGGTCTCTCCATCAGAATGTGGGCAGAGAGCCTGTGTGTTTGCCTCTGAGAGTGTGTGCAGGTAAATGTGTTTTTGGAGGAGAGAGGAGAGAGACAACACAGTAGGCCACTCTCCTGGAAGACAATGATCTCAATCAAGTGCAGGTGCTTTCTACCATTCAAGTGTTTTCACCAAAACTCCTCCAGCTTGTTTTTGTAGACGAGTCGTTGTAAGCAGCTGTGCCCCCCCCCCATCTCTATCCTGCAGAAGTGCTGGGCAAAAAAGTCTGAAAGAGAGAGAGAGAGAGAGGACTGCATTAGAATTTTGTGCATTCTTCTTTTTAAGCAGAATTTACTTTTCAAGGTCAGAGTGAGGTGTTTTTTTCTTTTTTAGTTTTTGTAATTTTCCCGAAAGAATTGCTGACGCTTGTCGTCTTTGTTGTGTTTTTCAAAGCAATGAGAGAGGGCATAATAAAAGCAGAAAAACAATCAAGGCAGCCTGATTTGATAACAATTTTCTCTTTTTCTCTGAGGCTCAGGCAAATACAAAAGTAAATCAAGGTTGGTGCCTGGCGGTTAATATGTGAATCTTAAGTGCATGAAATTTAAAAGTTTTCCAATTAAGCGGAGACTTTGAGCTGTTTGGAGGCTGTAGAGTTTGGGCTCAGGCTGATGAAGACCAACGCTGCTGCAACAGTAACTTGTTAATTTCGACAGCCTTTGTTTGCAGAAATTGGAATTCCCAACAAGTTGTTTTGTTGTTAGCAAGCAACCAATTCACTCCATACTGACACCCAACATGACAATGTGATTCACTTTTGCCTCTCTTTTGTTCTTTTTTTCTTTCTTTTCTGATCATTACATTCTGTTGCTGTGACCTTTAACTATCCCCAGTTTAGCACATCGTTACCAGCTAATTTTGTCCAATTTTTTTTCAGGTAGCTACTTCCTTTAGTACTACGAAGTATTCAGGGCTGTACTGTCTTGGCCCAGTTTTCCAGTTCAAACTCATTTCAGCATAAAAATCCATTTTTGTTGTGTGGTAAAAACCTCCAATCAAAGCGTTCTCTGAGCTCCTTTGAAGCCCTCCACTGTTGATTAGAAAGTTTGCAGCTAATGAGTTCTCTTGATAAAGAGCAACTGGCATTGTTCAATACTCTGAGTGGCCCTAATGAAACTCCAGCTGATGAAGATTGTAATCGTGCGAGCACCACATAATGAACAGACGCTCCAAATTCCCATTTTCAAGTTGAATGCCACTCCTCTGGAAAGCCTCAATTTGTAAGGCAATTAACCAATAGAAAATGTAAAAAGGAAAAAAAAAACAGGCCATTTTTGTTGAAGAAAGTTTAATTTGCAAGTGTCAGGAGACAGATTGCAGATGGAATAGATTATTGTACTGCACTCACTCCATTTTTCATTTCTCTAAATAAGAGTCTCTTGTCTGATGTGGCTGCGCTTTCATCCTGTTATGTTGATGAAGCTCTTTGCAGCAGGAGAGAATATATGAAGCAACACATCCATACAGTCTGTGCTCCTACTGTAATATAGTCGAGCACTTTTATCATTTCTTTTGTTCTAAAGGTTCTTTAGAAGTTTCATTTACGACATACATTATTTGCATTTTAATTGATAAATATTATATATAGAAACTGTTTCTCAGTAAACACTTTTTTCCAACTGATAAAATACCGACAGATTGTTTCATTTTAAAATAACTGGATTCTACAAACTCTCTGGTGGTTTATTCCACTTCCCATTAGTCTGTGCTGTTAAAACAGAATCACTACCACTACTGCTACTTCTACTACTACCACTGCCTTCTACTACTACCACTACTTGTACTATGACCAGTATTTTATACTCTCACTTCTATACTTTCTAAACTGTATGTGTGGATATATGTGTAAACATTTTTTCTTGAATCATACACATTTCTATTATAGATGAATCTAGGTGAGTATATATATATATTTATATATATATATATAAATTATATTTCATCACATGAAATCCATTTTATTGTATAACTCATTCATCTATGACTGTAGAGAGATGACCTTTGATGTAAACATGATGTTTTTTTCTCCTTTCCTCTCAGGATGCCTTTCTTGTTGTTGCTGCAATCGTCCTGTTTGTTCTCTGCCTTTATGCTTTCTTCTACCTCAACCTGAGCACAGAAGTTGACCTGGATCTGGACATGGATTAATTCTCCTTGGACCGAGTCACTGAAAACATTCTGCTTTCAACCCGATGTCGTTGCCGTGTCTGTCGACAGCGAACAAATCAAGCATCTGAATATTTTTGATATCTGATTTAGAAGTACTTTCATTCCTGCAGTCAATAAACTCTGGGACTAGCCCAACATTATAAATAATACTTTTCTTTCAGACACAGACTTTGACTCCCCCCTCTTTTTCTCCCTGACCTCCTAATTTATGACAACTCCTCCATTCTGAAACAACACTGAGCCTCCTTTCACACAGGCTGCGGTGGAGACGCAGCTCCATTAAATCTTATTCGGCGAGGTCACGTCCCACTGTTTTCTCCACTAATAGAAAAATGTAAATCTCTCACAGACCCTCTCGTCACATCAAGACAAACACTTGCCTCGCATTCCGCTGCACAAACCTCTCTCCTCCAGGATAGCCGCGGCTCACAAAGTGTGAGATTAGAATCCACAGAGCCCCGGCTCTGATTGAACATGTGTTCAGAATACAGAGCCACACATTGGAGCCGCCACACATACAGTACACACAGCACTTAGTCACTTGTTGGCAGAATTAGCATTACAAACGCCAGGCTGTACTTTTCATTTGAATGGAAATGACCGACGTGAGTGACTCGTGTTTCTCAGAAGATCCTCTGTGATGATTGTCAAGGGTCCAGGATACAAAGGTGGTCCTGGGTTTATTTTCCCAATCTTTGCACTTTGTGCACTTGTGCATTCGTCGGCACAATATAGTAATAATAATAATAATAATAATAACATGAATGATGCGTTGTTTTGATAATTACCCCGTGTACGTTTATGTAAAACAGACGACCAAATACACAGGAGGCCTTGTGACTTCTCTCCTTGACAACATGTTTTTTTCCACTAATGTCGTCAGTGGCTGATTGTGTTCAGGGGCTTGAAATGTGAGACCGTTTTTTGAATTTTCCCTTTCTCCCATGACCTTGTGACCTCTAGTAAAAAGACGACATGTCAAAGAAACCATTATGATAAGCATGAAGCCGTATCCTTGGTGGCTTTTATCAGACTGTGGTACATCCAGACCCCCACACTTCCACATATGTAACAATAGACAGCCTCTCCCCCTCTCCCCCCTCTCTCCCCCACTGTTGGACTTTCATACCTGACACCTGTTATCTTAAAGGTCACTCTTACCAAATACAAGGGCTCAGACATCAGTGCAGGGAAAATAATACTGCAGTAAAGGTCTGGCAACATGATAGCACACTGTTAGAATAGTGAGTACTTTTAGTTTTAAATTGATTTGAATAGTAAATAGGTTTTGTTTTTATTTCACTCATTTCTTCCTGTTTTTGTATTGAATATGTCATATGAGACTTGTTTGTTGTAAAGCATTAAAGAACTGAGATGGAAAAAAGTCCAAGTTGGAGAAAATGTAATGATGTTGTGTGACATCTCGTCTTTGAAGCCTCAGCAGTGATGGTGAGACATCAACCAATGGAACATAGCAGTGATACAAAGAACCTCTGTGTGTAGCCTCTGTTAGGATCCAACTCATTTTTTTCTTAAGATCCTTAAAAGCCAAAACCTGGAGAAAAAGTGTCCTGAATTCAAAACTGTGGAAAATTTGTGGACGCTTCTTTCTCTGGCCAAAGGCTTGGAAAACAAACTGCAGAATGCTCCTGTGTCCATCTCAGTAACAGATCCACCAGGCTGTAGTTTGCTGTAAGTCTCACTCCACATGTTGTGTGAGCACATTATAATGAAATTGTCGTTTGGGGATTTTGAAAAGGTTTAGGAAAATGGCTTGTTACACCTTCAGTAGTTTTCACACTGGCATAAACCCTA